CCTCTACATTTCCTCCCCCTGCTTGAGGAAGGAGGAAGGCAATGCCTTGGGATCATGGCTAACCTCTGCTGACTCTGGGTCCCAGCATGCCTTCCTTCAGCATGCTACAGGTCGCATTCCTAATCCAGCAGCTTTACAGAAGACTCTGCTTGCTACCACATGGCCAATGGTCTGCTCATGGCACCTCCCAACACCCTGTAGGGCTTTACCCTCACTTGGCTCAGTCATCTGGCAGCAGTCAGGTCTGAGCCTTGCACTGCTTCCACATCTGCAGCGGATGACTCTAACCTTGTGGGAACTCCAGCAACCATTCACACCCACACTCATCTGCCTGGCCTCACTTACCTCGACAGAGTTCCTCCCACAACAGTCCCCACCTCTGGCACAGTATAAATTTCATCGACCTGCAGCAAGGCAACAAGAATAAGCTGCTCAGACAGCTGTGAAAGAACACTCTAGAATGAGGACAAGGTGCCCGCCCCTTGTGTGGAGGGAGATGAGCTTTCTGCTGGCCATTAGACACCATCTCAGAGCTTTCACCAGCTCCCACCACCTTCCCATTAGAGGAACCTCTGCCTTTGAAGTGGCAACCAGAGAAACAATCTTATCCCTGAGATGGGCATCCCTTGGTTAGGACAGAGCCCAGCCTAACAGGCTTTCTTCAAGGACCAAGTCCTTTCTTTACTTTAATGTCTCCCAATAGTCCAGGAGTTCACCACATCTCTCCCCATGGTGTCCAGATCCCTCAGATGTTTGTCACATGTCACAGCAATGAGTGCAGTACCAGAACTGGAAACAAACTACCCTTACGCACCTGAAACTCTGTGAGTTGCTGCATTAGTTCTTCCTGCTCTTTACTGTTTGTCAGTGGAGGGAGGATGTTGAGGAAGACTTTTAATAGATCCAGGTTCTCCCCAGAAACACTGGATAGTGTGAAGATTGGGGTGATGCTGTCAGACACAAATAAGACAGGAATAAGCAGAGGGCCAGAGTGCAGCTGCAGAAGGTGGCTGGGATTCTGAATGTACCAAGTCCAGCAAGAGGACAGAGACTACAGTGATAAATGGCTAGAGCAGGAGGGCACATGGGCTAGGTACAACCCTGCAGCAACCCCTGCCTCAACAGCTGGTCGAGGCACCAATCCCCTGCCAACCCGCACTTCTGTCATGGAGAAGTAACTCCCATGCAGCCTCGGACACCTTCTGCTCCCAGAGCCCAGAAAAAGGCCTGGGAGGGGAAAATGCCTTCTTGGAGAATGAAAAGGTAGGAAACTTGATGAGCAGTCAAGACGTTCAAGATGTGGTCGCCTCCCCTGCAGTCGCCCTTCCCCAGCTCTGCACAGCAGCCCAGTCTGAATTGCCTGCTCCCAGCAGAAGAAAGGAATGGTCCCTTACTTGGGAGACTGTGCAAACTGCTGTGCTGCTGTAACAGCATCATCATCCGAGTTCACAAGCAGGGGGAGCTTATTGCAGCCTGGCTGCTTCAGGATTCGCTCCAGCTGCTTCACTGTCCGTTCCACGGTGGCTTTCGAACACAAGTCAACTTTGCTGATGACAATGAAGAAGGGGACCTTGAGGGCCATGGCCAAGCCCAAGTGCTCTCGCGTTGTGCCTGCTGCAGGAGACAAGTGAGAGTGTAGGTGCAGTAGCAGTCATTGCTGTTGCTTGTTTATGTGACAGCTCTGCCTCCTGGCTCTCCCACAGGCCCGCTCTAAAGATTTCACCCTCACTGCTTAGTTCATCAGGCAATGAAAAAGCAAAATTATTCTTTTAAACAAAACCAAACATCAGTCCAGAAAAAAAAACAAACAACCACCAAGAATTTTTGTGACTGATCTGTTTGCTTCAGAAAGATGCAGTAGTTTTCATTCTTGGGCTACAGTTTGCCAGAAAACAGCCACAAAAATGTCAAGGAAAGATGTGGGAGCACTCCAGCTGCCTTTTTACAAGGCTTCAGGATTCAGCACCCCTAAGAATATGTCAAAGTTGGTTTTTTTTCTGGCAAACACAGCCTCAAATTCCAAACAAAGCCTCTCTGTCCAGGGTACAGTTTAATGCGGTCTACAGCTGGTAAGAGGATCCCAGCACTGCCCCCCTCCCAGGCACTGGCTTACAAGAAATCAGCAGAGGCTTCCAGACTAACATTTTTTTTTTCTGACAACCATTCCCAGCTAACAAGGACCCACTCCCCCCATTCTCCATTTCTCTTCACACATTACTGTCAATCCACACAGGCAGGGCAACACTCACCAATGCCAGTGTTGGCACTAACCACCAGCATAGCAAAGTCCGGGCAGTAGCTGGTGAGGCCAAAGATGGTTGTTTTCAGATACTTGTGGTGGCCAGCCAGGTCAATGAAAGTGATCATTTTGGAAGAACTCTCACAGATCTCTTCTGCTGTTCGGGAGTCACTGTAATTTACCACCTGAAGAACATAAAGACTCGGTGAGAGAAAGAGCCCCAGCAGGCAAGTGAAGAAAACCCAGCTCTTATCGATCCACTTTGACCTCAGAATTAGTGAGGAGAGATCATTCACCATGGGTGCAAGAAACAATGTCTGTCACAAATGGACAGGTAGCACTCAGGTTCAGCTAAAGGGACACAGAGCTGTGCTACGTCTCTTCCCTCACATCCCACTCACTGTTATAACAGGAGGGTAGTCCTATTCTCCTCCAGCTTTCTGAGTTCAGCAGCCCACTCCCTCACCTCTCCTTTGCTGTTGAAACCGAGGATCTCAAAGCTGATGCTTGATGTTCTTCCTGACTGGATTTCATGGAGATGCCGGAAGAGGTTGAGGCGTGCTCTGCCCCGCCCGTTGTCCAATTCGCCTTGCGTTAGGACACCCAACAGGGTTGACTTCCCTGAGTCCACATTCCCCAGCACAGCTACTCGCAGGTCTAAGAACTACAGGAAGAAGAACAGAGAAATCATGAAACTTAACTGCTGCTGTGCTGGGCGTGCACGAACACTACATGGCAGTGGAGATATGCCTCAGAGAGCTTCCCTCCACGATGGACACCGTGCAGTGTAATCTTGCTCAGATTCTGCTCTTGCTCCCAGCAAACCACTGCCCAGGAGTTGTGATACACTCTCTAGAGTTGTGATGTGACACATCAGGCTTTGATATCACAAACAAGGCCATGCAGCATGACCTCTAAATCCTCCCTTGTTTGCACACTAGCTTGCATCAGAACTGTTGCCCTAGAAGTGAAATAATTTCTCACCTCTGGTCCAGGCAATCTCCCCTACTGGTATCTGCCTCAACCACAATCTTAGAGATGAAAAGCGTTATCATCAAGCCTCCCTCTGGCAGCTCTTTAAAGCATCAGCTATGGGCCAATCTATGACAAAGTGCCTCTAGGGTTTGGGCTCCCATCCCAAAAGGAAGCTGCTTGTATGAAGCCTCTAAGTCTCCAGCAGGAGAGGATGGCCAAGTCGCAGGTCCCTACCTGCTGGTTGTCAGGCACCTTTCGGACAAGCACCTCCGTTATCTTCCTTGGGACGTCGCTGTCGTAATCGACCTCCCTCTCCCGCAGCACCGTAATGTCAGCCCCAACCCTGCCACAAACACGAAAAGGAGTGAGACACACACTTGTATTCGGCAGCTCTTGCACCTCTAGAATCACAGCTGGCAAAGTGAAGGGGATGAAAGCTGGGGACAGCAGGGAAGGAGCCTCACGCTTCCAGCCAAAAGCCCTATAACTGCCTTCATATTTCCAGAGCCTCATGATGAGGGAATTTCAGTCATACAGGGGCTTTGTAGAATGGAGCCGCTGGCTCCTCAGGGGAATTCAGGGGCTGAGCCTCTCTACTGGCTGTTTATGCCTGCGGGTCCTGCAGATGAAAGGGAACACGTACTTCTCTGCCATACGGCGCAGTGTCTTGAGCGAGGCACGCATCTCCTCCTCCGAGAGGCCCACCAGCAGCCCGTTGTCCTCCACGCCGATCTGATAGACGGCCTCACCTCGGCCTTCCTGTAGCCGCCACTTCATCTGTGTCACCAGGTGCTCAAAGCGATATTGTGAGGGATTCACTAGCTTTAGCTGTGTAACGGAGGGGGTAGTTATAGTCACAGCCTGGATGCAGAGGGAATCCCATTGCCCAGGCCAGCAACTCCCTAACCTAACACCATGAAGCAATGCCCCCAACTCTGACCCACCTCTAGAAAACACAGCCCATGTTAGTGTCTGCACAGAAGCCATAGGACAGGTGAGAAAGGGTTTCACAAAGGTGCATACTGATGGTAGAAGAACGTTCCTGCATCTCGCTAAAGGGATCTGTACCCTGCTTGCTGTGGAGGTAAAGACAGACTGTGGGACCTATCTGTGACACAGGAGCCAAGTTAAGTGCAAAAGGCAGAACAGCCACAAGAAAGTGACAAATGATTATCAGGGACACCTGCAGCTCTCTCTCCGAAGGAAGAAGGTTTCAGGAAAAGCACAGTGGGTCTCATCTCCTAAAAGAGATTCCTAAAAATTAGTACTGAGATCAAACTCTTCCAGCTCAGCATACTGGGTATTGCTAGGCACAAAGACACCGAAGATGACTGACAGTCCCTTAGTACAGTGTCCACTTTTCTGTCCCTTCCTTGGATGTGCTCCCCATATGCTGTCTTTGGTAAAGTTACTCACTGCAAAATAACCCTCTGGGAGGAAGACCTCCTTCTGCAACCTCAAAAGGCTCACCTTGTACTCGATGTTCCCATCTTCTGCCTGGTCAGAGAATGAAAGAAGACAGAAAGGTTAGACGCTGCGCCAGCAAAGACTTCTACAGGCATCAGCTGCCCAGATACTCTGCAGCTCCTGCTGACGGTTTCAGAGAGAAGGAAAGTGGCAGAAATATACTGTGTTAGGTCACAGCCTCTTCTGCCATTCATTCCTACACTCAGCTGGAACTTACATTAGGTTTGTTTCTGCTGTTTGCATCCCACATCATGAAAAACAGAGGACAAAACTAGAGAGGGACACAGAAGGTAATACTGTTTTGGGGGGATTTTTTTTACTGCCAGTAAAGAATAGGGCCAGTCTAACAGTCACAGAGAGAGAGTTCCAGTTTGAAAAAGGCACAGGCCAGCAGGTGATTAAAAGTCTCCCCCCTCACCCATCCGTGACCCACAGCATCCCACTCCCACCCTATCCAGCAGCTTCCATCCACCCAACATGCACAGAAACAGGTGACTGGGAACAAAAGTCACTGCCTCCTCTCCTGCACACCGATACTCTCCCTCACTCAAACAGTTTTTCATTGACTCCTTTCCATATCCTTGCCTATCTTCTCTCTGTAAGAGAGAAGGACTACAGACATAAGGAAGCAAACTACTGATTTCTTTGCAGTACAGCAAGGTGGTCACTGGCCTGGCAGTTCTGGAGAACCAGACCTGATTGGGACTGTCTCTACGCAACATGCTCAGAAGAACTTTCCCAGGAAGGGCTGGAGCCAGACTGGGTTGTCACAGAAAGGCCTGGGTACTCGTCAAGCTCCAGCTTTCCAAAGAGAACATATAGCCAATATTGAAGTAAATTTCCCACTGATTCAGTTTAAGGACCACTGAGAAAAGGCTGGAGCCTGCAGGAAGCCAAGTACTGTGGCAGACTAAATAGGGCTGCCAATGCTAAGCACTTCCTTTTCCTCTGGACACCGATTTGCATGTCAGGAGAGGCAATAGCCCTCTCCTTGCCTTCTAGCTCAGCTCCTAACCACACCGGTGCTTATGGTGGCAAAAGGCCAACAGAGGCAAGTTCTGAATTGTCAGCTCAGCTCTCAGGCAGCAGAGCTATGCAGCGAGAAAAGGGTACTTGTTGAAGATTCTCCTCTCTTACCATCTACCAGCTTTCCAGCTCTAAGAAAAACACATATACTGTGCTGTCGTCTAAATAAGGGGGTGGGTCTCTTTCAAGGCAGCTGAGACTAGAAAAGCAACAAGCCCAGACTTGCTGGGCCACATACTGCACAGGGTAGCCAGGGACAGGAAGCTGTGCTGAAACCACAGGGGGCTGCCCAGCCTCCAGCTGAAAGGAACAAAAACTAAACTGCGGCTGCAGGGGACAATCCTGCCTGTGGAGAAGATCTAACAGTAGCAAAGCGCTGTTTTCCCTACTTGCCAAGAGTCACAGCCCTGCCTTGTGGAGGAATTGCTCCCTCCCAGCACAGGCTCTTATATATTTTACAGAAAGCTCACTGAGTGGGGCCGAGCAATCGACTCCGGAGCAATGTAATGTTTCCCATGGTGGCAGCCCTATTAGTGTGGTGCCAACTGTCTGAACTAACCAACACACCCACTTACTACCAATGCCATTTTTTCCCTACTGCAAGAGGCAAGTGCCTCACACTCTATCAGTACCGTCTGCTTCTCCGTGTAAGAGAAGTCGCCAAATTAGCTGGGAAGGGAGTCACTAGAACCTGCTGAGCAATGCCTATGAGTCTGGCAGCTGGAAACGGACTTACACCCACCAGATCGGCTCTCAGGGAGAGACGCGAACAGGATGCTCGGTACTACGAGTTGAGCAAAGCTCTATTTCCGAAGCTATTTAGCTCTCAGACAGCAAAGCACCCACAGACGGAGGCCAGGCAGCGGGATGCTACTAACGAACGGGGCTTGGCGGACCAGGCACAGAGCTCGCTGGCACTGGGGGCACAAGCACTGCCCGCTGCCACGTCGAACCCCGGAGGAGAGGCCGGGGCAGGAGGGCACACCGCTTTCGGGGCCGGGGCTGCGGGACGGCACGCAAGGCTGCTAGCCCACCGCCGGCACGACC